GCCTTCCAGCCCGGACAGGGAAGCTGGGATTTTGGTTCCCCCCCCCCCCCCAAAGATTACTTCATCCAGTGGGTAAGCGCCCCATCCCACTGCTTTATGCTTGCGCCCAGTAGCAGTTTGCAGAGACTTTTGCCCAGCCGAGGAGGCAAGACACCCCCCTATTCCCCGGGAAGTATTTCCACAATCAAGGATGTTTTTCCATTAGAAAAAGAAACCTATTAGGGAACCTTTGGAGACTCCTCTAGAAAGCCACTGGAATTTTTTCCATTAGAAAAGGTTTGGATCCAAACTGGATCCAAATCCTCAGCTACACGTGCCGGGGACAGGGGGTGCAGCTGCAGAAGTTCTAAGCCAGTCTCTTGGCCCAGGGAAAAGGTGGGACCCATGCCCAGGCCGCCAGCAGCACCGTGAGCAGTTTAGCCATCATGTACCCCTGCCTGAAGAGCCACAAATACTCGCTGCTCCATAATTCCTATGTGAGTTCAGGCAGAAAATTAAAGTCTTTTACTACAAAGGGACTTTTGTGACACTCCACCTGGCTGCTCTGTTCCCCACAGCGCGCTGTCTTTACTACACTCAGAGTGAAGATTGCAATAGATGTGCTGGGTGTGGTAGGAGTCTGAGAGCAGGAAGAAACTCAGCAATTCTCCCACCCACGCACAGCAACCCACCTTGGCTAGAGACATGGGGCTTTAGTGCTTTTGGTGTTAACAGCAGAAAACCGTGCCTGCTTTCAGTCTTTCCACACTGGCAGGACTTGGTGTGCTTTACAAGCACTCAGGCACTCTGCAAATAGGTAGAATAAAACCATTAGACAGTAGAGGCAATGTAGAGATGAAACTTTGATCCAAGACGAGACTGCTGTTGTCTTACAAGCGATCCCACGGCACTGCTTGGTACACAGAGCTGGAACAGACGCAGTTACAAAGTACTGGCACCGCTCCACATTAAACCCAAGGCTGTAAGCTGCAGACCAAGCTGGCAGATGTGAGGATTAGTTAGCTGGAAAGCACTAAAGCCCTTGAATCAACAAGACTGAGTGTTCATAAGGCGTAGTTCAATTATAGTTCTCCCATAACATTGGAGTTTGGTGGAGAGACTGACATGGATATTTGGAAATTCATATGACATTATTATAGCAGTCCTTGTGGCCTTCCAGTTCAGCGTGTAGACTTGCAGACACATTCAGTGTCAAGGAGCTGCTTGAACTGCACACCTTTGATCTGTCACTCCACACCTTGCCATTTCCACATGGGAGTAAAGAGGTGCCCTGAGTTTTTGAGAGGTGGTGGGTACGTGCTGTTAGTGACAGCACGGGTGGCTGTTCAGAGGGACATCTGAAGGGGTCCAAAGGCCAACAGAGGCACTGTTGATAACCACCTCAGTAATTTGCTGTTTTATCTCCATGGTGGTCTCACAGGGTCTCTGGTCACCCTCTCGTGCCTTTCTCACCGGGTCGTGTGCCGAGTGATTGGTGATGCTGACCCAGCTGACTCTGTCCAGGACAATGGGACTTTGGATAACTTCTGGATAACTCGGCTGGAAAGCAGTTATGGGTTCTACATTGGCCTGGGCTTGGCTGTCTTCTCCAGCTTCCTCATCGGAAGCAGCATCATCCTCAAGAAGAAGGGGCTGCTACGGCTGGGGGGGGGGGGAGGGACCCGGAGGGCGGCGACGCTTTTGG